CAACCTCCCTCTCACTCACCCAAGATCCCACCCACTCGCTCACTCACCTGCTCACTCACCCAAGATACCACTCACTCACCCAAGATACCACCCACTCACTCACTCACCTGCTCACTCACCCAAGATACCACCCACTCACTCAACCCAAAATTAATACAAGCAGACTGAGTCCTTTAAACATTACATATTAGTTGACAGACACATTTGAACACACTTGATTACTTGTGAACTGTGTATGAAAGAGAAAGATGCTTGCATATGAGATGCCTTATACTCTCTCCATTCAAAGTTTGCAGTGTTTGTAATCAATTTGGGATTGATGGGATTGATGGACTGCTCTTCTCTTTTCTTCACTTTGGTCCCCCTGTCTTGATTTATCCTGCTGTGATGACTGTGATGACAGAAGTACACTTGAATGTAGTCAGAGATGGGCATAAATACATGAAAATGTATTTAAAATAAAAATACAAAATACTGTGTGGAAAAATGTATTTAAATACAAATACAAAATGCTGTGTGGAAAAATGTATTTTGTATTTTGAAAATACACAAAATACATGTGAAATTGGCCATCCAGTGCAAGTATCCCTATAGGCTGATATCTATCTGGACCTATTCTGGAGAAAGAAACAAAAAAACAAACACAAACACATTTCAATGTGTACAACTGCTTAGAAACTTTTGTTTTCATTTTACATACCTCTTAGAGAATACAAAACTACCAACAAAAAAAAGCATATTTAATTCATGTTAAGTTTATTCAAATGAGAAAGTTTATCTAAAATTTGAATGTTAAAATTAGAATTCATTTAGATAGCATTTAAGATTTTTTGTGGTTAACCTAATTACCTCTACATAATCATACATTTGCATAGATGGGTGAACACAATCACCTGATTTTGTAAATGTGACAAATTTTTCATTTTTGCACTTGTCTTAAAAATTTTAAAAAGCTTACATTTACAAAATGAGCCTGTAATATCAAAAATAATGAATAAAGTAATGGTCCATGTTAAATATATACATTAATTAAAAGAACATTTTTAATGAATTAAAAAAAAACATAATAAAGCATTATTTAATTTAGTGTTATACATATGTTATCATATTCATATGGTTTGTTTTAATGTCACAAATCATAATCTCAAGTTTACTGCATTTTACACGATTCTTTGAATTCTTTTGTGTGGGTTTAAGAAGTGTAGTCAAAAACATTTTCACGTGTCCTCCAAAATTACCACCTAATCTGTTTATATGTGAAAATAAATCCATTTATTCACAAACTTCTCACGAAACAACTGTTTGACAAACTACTACTTCCTCCCACTGCTGCTTTCTGATGGTTTGGAGAACAATTACTTGACTCTTCTGTAGTTACATCGTGTACATCGTGTCGCTGAATTTCTGACCATTACCGCATGCTCCCATCCGCTCCCGCGATTTCTGTGTCCGCTCCCGCAAACATTCTAATATTGTATGTATTTTTCGTGCATCAGGGCGCTGCTATCAATATGTGAGGTATTTAAATCCCTTTTGAATGAGCGCTCGCAGTCGCAGGTCACTTTCGATTTCGCGACCGCGCGCGCACTGTGTAAAGGGAGCACATCTTACGATAAAAAGATATTTGTCTGTTGAGGAGCAAATCCTCCAACATCTTGTCAGTTATCTCTCCTCACTTTTGACCCGTGATCAGTCAAATCTCTCTCTCTCTTTATTTATTCCTTCTCTTTCTAGCTTGTACTTATTTGAACAATGTCTAAGAACTTGGTATTACAACCACTTCCTGTGTCTGTTTGCCTCTTAAGAAGAATCGCTTTATGTATCACCCAATTGTAAGTCGCTTTGGATAAAAGCGTCTGCTAAATGACTAAATGTAAATGTAAATGTAAATGTAAATCTGACTTCTGCAGCTCGTGTTGGATGCAGGGTTGTTGTTGTTGTTTTCCATGAAATTGGGCTGCTTTTAAACTGTTGCCATGGGTTGACTTTCCCCAGTGGGTTAAAGGTTTGAAATATTGCATAAATTACATTTGGTTCAGTCAGGAGATTCTGCTTCTTCATCGACAGGGTGTCCGCGGGGTCTTAAAAGGTATTAAAAGTTGATAAATCAATTTAGATCAAATTAAGGCCCTTAATAAGTATTAAAAAGTCTTAAATGCCATTTTCCAGGGTCATCTTTTCATTAGGAATATTTGTCCGAATAGTGGTGTTTTGTGTAGTTTATTTATGGAATCCCGCAAGATTTGACGTCATCTGTTACGGCGCTCACTGACTGACTGCACCGCTGCGTGATAGCGCGGGGTTTGTTGATCCCGCTCTCGCTGAACTTCTGACCATTACCGCATGCTCCCATCCGCTCCCGCGATTTCTGTGTCCGCTCCCGCAAACATTCTAATATTGTATGTATTTTTCGTGCATCAGGGCGCTGCTATCAATATGTGAGGTATTTAAATCCCTTTTGAATGAGCGCTCGCAGTCGCAGGTCACTTTCGATTTCGCGACCGCGCGCGCACTGTGTAAAGGGAGCACATCTTACGATAAAAAGATATTTGTCTGTTGAGGAGCAAATCCTCCAACATCTTGTCAGTTATCTCTCCTCACTTTTGACCCGTGATCAGTCAAATCTCTCTCTCTCTTTATTTATTCCTTCTCTTTCTAGCTTGTACTTATTTGAACAATGTCTAAGAACTTGGTATTACAACCACTTCCTGTGTCTGTTTGCCTCTTAAGAAGAATCGCTTTATGTATCACCCAATTGTAAGTCGCTTTGGATAAAAGCGTCTGCTAAATGACTAAATGTAAATGTAAATGTAAATGTAAATCTGACTTCTGCAGCTCGTGTTGGATGCAGGGTTGTTGTTGTTGTTTTCCATGAAATTGGGCTGCTTTTAAACTGTTGCCATGGGTTGACTTTCCCCAGTGGGTTAAAGGTTTGAAATATTGCATAAATTACATTTGGTTGAAACGCTTGTACTGAAACATTTTGCATTCTACCTGTAATAAAACTGTGCTAAATGTTTTGGGCTACACTAGTAGGAAGCATTTGAGCTGTGTTTATGATAAATGTGCATAGCAGTGACTGTAAAATATGTATTTTAGGGATGGAAATGACAATTTTATATTTGGGACATGGTATTTGCGCTACTTTGGGCTGTTTTTCTACTGGCATGGGCTTGGGATGCACAATTAAAATGATGTAATAGTTGTGAATTCTTGTTTCTTGGGTTGCATTGGTTAGTCACTCAATTAATTCTCTTGTGCTTCGTTCCCTTCTGAATTATGTTGTATTTATAAGGAGTTATCACGAAGTAAGTCTGTTTAGTTGTGCTATCTTACAATCAATATATAGTAAATGTAAGTTAAAGTGTCGCCGATGTAATCGGTCTTAAAAAAGGTCTTAAAAGGTATTGAATTTAACTCCATGATTCGTATTTATTTAAATCTGATCGTGTGGACAAGGCTTTTATTATGGTGGGACGTCGTGACGTCATACGGCCGCGTCGCGTGCTCTCGCGTCTGTGATCCTGCTGAAGAAAGGTTTGTGTTTTTATTACTCATCCGAAGTGTTTAAATCAGTAAAACGCGTTCAGTCAGTATTATACAGACCGGCGAAATTAACTAGGAATGATATTAAGGAATGTAACATTGTAATGTTTGTAATATCAGCGATTAACCGTTTTAATGAGTAAAGCGTATCCACACGTTGCGTCTAGTTTCGCTCCCCATGTAGTGCGATATAAACACGTTTCGCTCCGTGTAGTGCGATATAAACACGTTTCGCTCCCCGTGTAGTGCGATATAAACATGGTTTCGCTCCCCGTGTAGAGCGATATAAACATGGTTTCGCTCCCCTTGTAGTGCGATATAAACATCGTTTCGCTCTCTGTGTAGTGCGATATAAACACGTTTCGCTCCCCGTGTAGTGCGATATAAACATGGTTTCGCTCCCCGTGTAGTGCGATATAAACATGGTTTCACTCGCTATGTAGTGCGATATAAGCACTTTTCGCTCCCCGTGTAGTGCGATATAAACATGGTTTCGCTCCCCGTGTAGTGCGGTATAAACATGGTTTCGCTCCCCGTTTAGTGCGGTATAAACATGGTTTCGCTCCCCGTGTAGTGCGATATAAATATGGTTTCGCTCCCCGTGTAGTGCGATATAAACATGGTTTCGCTCCCCGTGTAGTGCGATATAAACACGTTTCGCTCTCCGTGTAGTGCGATATAAACACGTTTCGCTCTCCGTGTAGTGCGATATAAACACGTTTCGCTCTCCGTGTAGTGCGATATAAACACGTTTCGCTCTCCGTGTAGTGCGATATAAACACGTTTCGCTCTCCGTGTAGTGCGATATAAACACGTTTCGCTCTCCGTGTAGTGCGATATAAACACGTTTCGCTCTCCGTGTAGTGCGATATAAACACGTTTCGCTCTCCGTGTAGTGCGATATAAACACGTTTCGCTCTCCGTGTAGTGCGATATAAACACGTTTCGCTCTCCGTGTAGTGCGATATAAACACGTTTCGCTCTCCGTGTAGTGCGATATAAACACGTTTCGCTCTCCGTGTAGTGCGATATAAACACGTTTCGCTCTCCGTGTAGTGCGATATAAACACGTTTCGCTCTCCGTGTAGTGCGATATAAACACGTTTCGCTCTCCGTGTAGTGCGATATAAACACGTTTCGCTCTCCGTGTAGTGCGATATAAACACGTTTCGCTCTCCGTGTAGTGCGATATAAACACGTTTCGCTCTCCGTGTAGTGCGATATAAACACGTTTCGCTCTCCGTGTAGTGCGATATAAACACGTTTCGCTCTCCGTGTAGTGCGATATAAACACGTTTCGCTCTCCGTGTAGTGCGATATAAACACGTTTCGCTCTCCGTGTAGTGCGATATAAACACGTTTCGCTCTCCGTGTAGTGCGATATAAACACGTTTCGCTCTCCGTGTAGTGCGATATAAACACGTTTCGCTCTCCGTGTAGTGCGATATAAACACGTTTCGCTCTCCGTGTAGTGCGATATAAACACGTTTCGCTCTCCGTGTAGTGCGATATAAACACGTTTCGCTCTCCGTGTAGTGCGATATAAACACGTTTCGCTCTCCGTGTAGTGCGATATAAACACGTTTCGCTCTCCGTGTAGTGCGATATAAACACGTTTCGCTCTCCGTGTAGTGCGATATAAACACGTTTCGCTCTCCGTGTAGTGCGATATAAACACGTTTCGCTCTCCGTGTAGTGCGATATAAACACGTTTCGCTCTCCGTGTAGTGCGATATAAACACGTTTCGCTCTCCGTGTAGTGCGATATAAACACGTTTCGCTCTCCGTGTAGTGCGATATAAACACGTTTCGCTCTCCGTGTAGTGCGATATAAACACGTTTCGCTCTCCGTGTAGTGCGATATAAACACGTTTCGCTCTCCGTGTAGTGCGATATAAACACGTTTCGCTCTCCGTGTAGTGCGATATAAACACGTTTCGCTCTCCGTGTAGTGCGATATAAACACGTTTCGCTCTCCGTGTAGTGCGATATAAACACGTTTCGCTCTCCGTGTAGTGCGATATAAACACGTTTCGCTCTCCGTGTAGTGCGATATAAACACGTTTCGCTCTCCGTGTAGTGCGATATAAACACGTTTCGCTCTCCGTGTAGTGCGATATAAACACGTTTCGCTCTCCGTGTAGTGCGATATAAACACGTTTCGCTCTCCGTGTAGTGCGATATAAACACGTTTCGCTCTCCGTGTAGTGCGATATAAACACGTTTCGCTCTCCGTGTAGTGCGATATAAACACGTTTCGCTCTCCGTGTAGTGCGATATAAACACGTTTCGCTCTCCGTGTAGTGCGATATAAACACGTTTCGCTCTCCGTGTAGTGCGATATAAACACGTTTCGCTCTCCGTGTAGTGCGATATAAACACGTTTCGCTCTCCGTGTAGTGCGATATAAACACGTTTCGCTCTCCGTGTAGTGCGATATAAACATCGTTTCGCTCTCTATGTCACGTTTCGCTCCCCGTGTAGTGCGGTATAAACATGGTTTCGCTCCCCGTGTAGTGCGATATAAACAGCGTTTCGCTCTCTGTGTAGTGCGATACAAACAGCGTTTCCCTCTCTGTGTAGTGCGATATAAACATGGTTTCGCTCCCCGTGTAGTGCGATATAAACATGGTTTCGCTCCCCGTATAGTGCGATATAAACATGGTTTCGCTCCCCGTTTAGTGCGATATAAACATGGTTTCGCTCCCCGTGTAGTGCGATATAAACATGGTTTCGCTCCCCGTATAGTGCGATATAAACATGGTTTCGCTCCCCGTTTAGTGCGATATAAACATGGTTTCGCTCCCCGTGTAGTGCGATATAAACATGGTTTCGCTCCCCGTGTAGTGCGATATAAACATGGTTTCGCTCCCCGTGTAGTGCGATATAAACATGGTTTCGCTCCCGATTTAAACTCGTTTCGCTCTCTGTGTAGTGCGACATAAACATGGTTTCGCTCCCTGTGTAGTGCGATATAAACATGGTTTCGCTCTCTGTGTAGTGCGATATAAACATCGTTTCGCTCTCTATGTAGTGCTATATAAACATGGTTTCGGTCTCTGTGTAGTGCGATATAAATGTAGTGTGATATAAACACGTTTCGCTCTCTGTGTAGTGCGATATAAACACATATTGCTCTCTGTGTAGTGCGACATAAACATGGTTTCGCTCCCTGTGTAGTGCGACATAAACACGTTTTGCTCCCCGTGTAGTGCGATATAAACATCGTTTCGCTCCCTGTAGTGCGATATAAACACGTTTCGCTCTCTATGTAGTGCTATATAAACATGGTTTCGCCCTCTGTGTTGTGCGATATAAACATGGTTTCGCTCTCTGTAGTGCGATTAAAAACACGTATCGCTCCCTGTGTAGTGCGATATAAACACGTTTCGCTCTCTATGTAGTGCTATATAAACATGGTTTCGCCCTCTGTGTTGTGCGATATAAACATGGTTTCGCTCTCTGTAGTGCGATTAAAAACACGTATCGCTCCCTGTGTAGTGCGATATAAACACGTTTCGCTCTCTATGTAGTGCTATATAAACATGGTTTCGCCCTCTGTGTTGTGCGATATAAACATGGTTTCGCTCTCTGTGTAGTGCGATATAAACACGTATCGCTCCCTGTGTAGTGCGATAATAAACACGTTTTGCTCTCTATGTAGTGCGATATATAAACATCGTTTCGCTCTGTGTAGTGCGATATAAACACGTTTCGCTCTCTATGTAGTGCTATATAAACATGGTTTCGCCCTCTGTGTTGTGCGATATAAACATGGTTTCGCTCTCTGTAGTGCGATAAAAACACGTATCGCTCCCTGTGTAGTGCGATATAAACACGTTTCGCTCCCCGTGTAGTGCGATATAAACATCGTTTCGCTCCCTATGTAGTGCGATATAAACACACAGATCGGTCCCCGGCGCTAGTGAGGAGAAAAACAGCGCCTTTTGAAGCTCAACTGAACCAAATGCTTATAAAAACACTGGAAATTCAAAGAGAACAAACGTCTTTTAAGACAATAACAAAAAATAGTGTAATCTTCTAAGTATAAATTGATATGACTTGCATTCTATTATTAATTTGTAGCGTTAGTTTTTAAGGGTTTATTAGCTAATGAGGTGATTTAAGTGCATTAACTCTGACTGACTCCCTTACTAGTGTGCTAACTACTGAACTATGGAGCTGATTGAGACACCCCAGAGATCTAGTTTGGGTTTACCTTACTTTCTGTTAATTATTCAGATCTTAAACACACAGATAAACTCCTGCTGAAGCGACTGAGAGACGCACTATTATAAAGATGGTGTTTATTAAAGAGGAGAGAGAAGACATGAAGATTGAAGAAGTATTCAGAGTCAAACATGAAGATACTGAGGACCAAACAAAGATGGCGTTTGTTAAAGAGGAGAGAGAAGACATGAAGGTTGAAGAAGTATTCAGTCTGAAACAAGAAGAGCAAACAGGTAAAACATTTATTATGCATAAATGTTTTGTGCGATGCACAAGGAAGCTAACAATATTCAGAGCCTCAAATGTAGAGGGGGAAAATACTTAGTTATGAACAAACCATCATGATAACAAAAATAGTAGTAAATAATCATTGAATGATGCAATAAATAAGTCACATGCAAATATCATTCATTAAACTTTAATTATGCTAATTATTGTAGTAATTTGCACGTAAAATGGACCTGCTCAAAAACTATCCTCCAGATTCACAAACACATCGTAAACCTCAGATTTGATAGTTAAACATGAGTATGTTAATGATTTCCAGCCATTCGTAAAAAGGGTGTTTGCACACTTATTCACAATTAGTGTAACCCCCACCCATTAATTACAACTAATAATTGGCCATATGCCTCACATCTGCCGTTTCAGCATCCCTCCATCTCCTCGACTCCACCAACATAATTTAGATATCTTGCCATTTATACTTGTTTTCCAAGCACTAGTTACTTAGAGCTGGAGTTGAAGCCCCTCCACTGCTGACAGCAAGCCAATTAATTATAACCTCAGTAGCTTAAATATTGCATAGCATATGGGCAAACAAACTCATGAAATATTATTATGGTACATATAGTGTTATCAAAATGCAGTGTCACCAGTTTGCCTAAAAAAAGTAAACAAAATATTCAGATGTTTTACATACCATTTACACATGATTGAGAGCAAGTGTAAATTTTTTTTGTGTACCAACATTGCAAACCGTAAAGTTGCAGCTGTCATCACAACACCTGGGTCCTTATATGTAGAAAATATCATAAAAGTACCTAAATTGAGGTCTAGCACCTTATGTATAGATTTATTTTTGTTCAATAATGAAAGGGATAGTTCACCTAAAAATGAAAATTAGCCTGTGTTTTACTCGCCCTCAAGGCATCCTAGGCATGTCTGACATTCCTCTTTCAGACGAACACATTTGGAGTTATATTCGACATTGTCCTGTCCATTCCAATCTGTATGATTGCAGTGAATGTTGCCCCTGTTTCTGAATCCGAAAAAAGTGTATCCATCCATCCATCCATCCATCATAAAACTACTCCACATGGCTCTGGGGTGTTAATAAAGGCCTTCTGAAGCGAAACGATGCGTTAGTTTAAGAAAAATGTTGATTCTTAAAACTTTATAAACTGTAATGTCCAGCTTCTGGTTGCTCAAGCAGAAGTTTTGTCAGGTTGTGAGAAAATATAAAACTGAATAATCATTGTCATAACAGCAAAATCTAATGATAATTTCCATCAGAGGAAGCATAAACAATGAAAAAAGCAGAGGACCTAATACAGAGCCCTGTGGTACACCATACTTGTGTTTGAAACATCTCTTCATATACAGTACATGTGAGAGCAGTCTGACAGATAGGACCTAAACCATGTTTAGTCATAAAATGTTAATGTTAATTCTTGTGCACAAATGCCAACATAATTCTCAAGCTATCCAAGAGAATGTTGTGGTCTATGTTGTTGGTAGATCCAATAGCACTAAAAGATAGATGTAACTATAGTAAGGAACGTGATAAGGAAGGTTTCTGTGCTACGAATTGGCTTAAATCCTGACTTGTGGACTTGTTCTAAAGAAAGTGAACAGTTAAGAATATTGAGAAGAGATTCTGAGATAACTCTTATTTTGGTAGCTTAGTGTGTGTAGTATCTAACATGCATGTTGTTGGCTTTATTGATTTACAGTATGTTGGTTTGGATGTCTGTTGCTTTGTGCAGTCAAATTTGGGTTAACTTGTATTTTTTCGCTTTAGACCTCACGGTGCTGAAAGTGGAGAGTCAAGAGCTGAATGAGATGGAAGACAAAAATCATCATGATTTCATGACTAGGGAAAAATCCACTAAAAAGACTTCCTCACAAAAAAGAGTTCAGATGGCCAAATCAACCAGTTTATTCACTTGCTGTCAGTGTGGAAAGTGTTTTAGTCAAAAACGAAAACTTGTACTCCACATGAGAGTTCACACTGGAGAGAAGCCGTTCACCTGCCAACAGTGTGGAAAGAGTTTCTCTCAAAATGGAAACCTTAGAGTCCACATGAGAATTCACACTGGAGAGAAGCCGTTCACCTGTCAACAGTGTGGAAAGAGTTTCACAACAGAACTAAACCTTAGGGTGATGCTATGTCAGAACATAGGATCAGCATATTTTAAACAGATTCTTAAATTTGTAATCCCACAGGTATCACATGAGAGTTCACACTGGAGAAAACTCTTTCACCTGCCAACAGTGTGGAAAACGGTTCACTCAAAAACAAAGCCTTGAAGTCCACATGAGAATTCACACTGGAGAGAAACGTTACATCTGTGAACAGTGTGGAAAGAGTTTTACTCAAAAAGTGCACCTTGGAAAACACATGAGAATTCACACTGAAGAGAAGCGTTTCACCTGTCAACAGTGTGGAAAGTGCGTTACAACAGAACTAAACCTTAGGAATCACATGAGAGTTCACACTAGAGAGAACTCTTTCACCTGCCAACAGTGTGGAAAAAATTTCAATCGAAAAAAAAGCCTTGAAGTCCACATGAGAATTCACACTGGAGAGAAACCTTACATTTGCACCCAATGTGTAAAGTGTTTTGCACATAAAAACACCTTTAATTACCACATGAAGATTCACATTCAAGAGAAATCTTTCACCTGCCGAAAGTGTGGAAAAAGTTTCACTGATGAACAAAGCCTTGAAGTCCACACGACGGTTCACACGGGAGAGAAACCTTATACTTGCACTCTGTGTGGAAAGAGTTTCACGCGTAAAAACACCCTTAATTATCACATGAGAAATCACACTGGAGAGAAGCTGTTCGCATGTGATCAGTGTGGAAAGAGGTTCCGTTATAAAAATAGTGTCCGCACTCACATGAGACTCCACACTGGAGAGAGGCCGTACACCTGCAAACTGTGTGGGAAGAGCTTCTCACAAAAAGGCACTCTTAAGATTCACCTGAGAATTCACACAGGAGAGAAACCATTCAAATGTGTGGAAAATGACTAACGTGTAAAGATAACCACATGAGGATTCACACGAGAGAGAAGCCATTCATATGTGTGGGCTCGTGCAGTCATGAAAAACCTGGGAAAGTCATGGAAATTTAAAATGGCAATTTCCAGGCCAGGAAAAGTTTTGGAAAAATTAATAAACCCAGAAAGTTTTGGAAAAGTCGTGGAGGTTTATTTCTCTTTCCCTGCCAAGCACGGAATTTTCTGGGTTTCCACGTTCTCGCTGTTATACGCTCGGGGGCGCTGTTACACATCTCCTGAACGAGTCCACAATCACCTGATCAAAAACACAGGCGAGGAAGACTCAAAAACGAGGAACATTCATATGCAAGCAGAAGCATATGAAAAATAATACCATCAATAATAAACAGCATATAAATGAAAACTGCCTAATGTTATCGAGTGAAATGTTGATCCAGGATGCGCAAAGGACTGTGAGGCTTTGGGGGTGTTGATGGAAGCGATCGACTGCATCTATGCTTTGATAATAGTACTGAATATGATTCAGATGTAGTCTTTGATAAAGAAGCTTTTTGATCAAAATGTTGCTTTTTTTTATGAAACTTACCGACATTCAAGTGTTGATTTAAAAAAAGAATGCTTAAAGCTAGAATAAAACTGATTGTTTTGTTTAAAAGTAGAGACTCTGTTCTTTGATTTGATGTATTGCTTGTTCAGATATTCATAAAACAAAATATTCTGGAGGCCATGAAGTTTTTGTGAAAATGATCAAAAACGCTGGCGGGGAAAGAGTTAACAAGGTCCTGAATTTCTGTGTGGGATCGTGCATATATCGTCTAGTTTTTCAGGTTTCGTGTTTATAATGCGGGGTATTCCCCGCAAACATTTATTTAATATAGCACGTAGGTTAGATGTAAATCAGGGATGGGCAACTTTGATAGTGACGAGGGCCAGCATTTTTTCTCCTTTATACCAAGGGGCCAGATTACTAATCCACACTCTCCTTTTACACCGTTTTACTCAATTTCCTTTTTATTGAAGGAAATTAAAGTATAACTAATTTAATTTGCTTTTAAAGATTTTATTAAGTATAAAACTTGTGCAGTTATGCTAATTCAGAAGGAAAACTTTGTTGTCAGTGGACAGAAATATTCCCCCGACAAGCCAATGTAAACATCTCAATTGCATTGTCTGTAAATTTGCAACAAACGAATGTACAAACATTACAGAACATTGGCCTACAGAACATTCTCAAAACAATCTAAGAGGACAGTTAAAAAGGGCTTAATTTAAAAAAATAGTTATTCCAAATGGTACCATAAAATAAAAATCAAATTTAAGACCTTTTTAAGATCTGCACTTCACATTTCAGCCTTTACACAATTTTTAAGAAAATATAAATTATTATATTAATTTAAACAATTATTATTAATTAACTATTATATTAAATAACATATAATATAAATATATCTTAGTGTCTTAATTGTTTAGATTTTTATAATGCATTAGCTTTTTGTCGATCCACTGGTTCACATTTAAAAATATGTAGCAAAAATAGCAGAAGGGCTTATTGAGAAAGCAGATTCGTTCTCTGCCAGCAGGAGACGCTTTCGGAACGGCAGAAATATAGTGGTTTCCCCGGTAACCGCGGTACACAAAGCTGACGTGCAGCGCTCAAGTTTATTCAGTGAAATCATAGCCTTTTGAAGTTTAATCGTCATATTAATCCATATAGCAATTCTTGTCTTTCCGTCCCCAAAGACCTCTTATAATTTAGACTTTTTGTACCATTTAAGAGTTTACATGGCCTTAAATGTAAACAATTTAACTGAAGACGTTTAAGGACCCGCGGAAACCCTAATAAGAACATAGCTCAGTGCAAACATTTCTGTCATGCATTTGGCAAAAAGCTTTTGTTTACTATGAATTTTACCTTTGAAATTTGAGGCAAGTGCAACTCCGGCGTCCCCGTTGTTTGCGAGCAGTGGTGTGATGGCGATTTAAATAAAATACAGATTTACAAACAGTACAAACATATGGGTATCCCCTTGAACTTGGTAAAAAGATAATCTGCTTACCATCTTGACTGGAAAATACTGTTTTCATGGTCTGTTTTCATTTATTATTTGCTAATGTTAGTGAATGTTTACATTAGAGCGCACGTCCTACTCCTGGTTGGAGATAGTACTAACATAATAAACT